GGGGGGTAGGAGAAATGCGCTTCCTCGTTGGCAAACTCATACGACAACCGTGATCACTTCCTTATTCAATGGAAGGCAAACAGTGACCAGCACTCAGCCCTATGGCCAAAATCCCTTAATTCCGGGCTTAATGAATAAGCAGTGCTTGCCATCTAGCAACCGCCATGTATTGTTTTTTTCTCTAAGCGCACGAATTATCCGGAATGAGAACACTTCACAAGCACTGATGATGTTGTCACCTCGACTGGTGTGATGAAACGTTTGCAAACAAATTGCCAGGCTCGGCGAACAGGCGAAATGAAATTCAGTTCACCCGAGCTACGAGAACCAATTTTCAACATTTTGTCAACAGAGATGATTCTCGGGTAACTGTTTGGCTTGAGTTTCCTAATGTTACATTCGAAATTTGCTTGGAGTGCATTTCGAAAAATGATATTGCTGTTCTAATCCTATCGTAAATATCTCTGGGGTTTTGAGGATCATTCCGTTTGTTTTCTTCGTGCCACGTCTAAATAGATCATCGTATCTAGTAAATAGCACGAGGTTCTGCATCACAAATGAAAATGGTTTAGAAATTTATTTCCAAACACGAAATTCTAACCCATAAAATTGAAATTTTACTTAGACGACCATATTCAATGATAGTTAATGTTCAATATGGTTATAAAATTGCTTATTTCATTGTTTTTATCTTTTAAAATATTCTACGTATTCTTGAATCTGCATTTTACTTCACAAAATACAGTCGTTGTTGTGAATCCAATAGAAGTTTATATGCATATATTTCTAAACATAAACTACTTCACTCTAATACTTTTCCCCGTTTCAGTTCGACTATTTTGCTGCAAAATGCTAAGAATAAACAACGTAATCCATTTTTTTTCTCCAGGTAGAACAGATGTTTGATCGCTATGTGTTCCGTTGAAAGTGCCTCACCCTTGTGCGTCTGAAGACCTTTGCGGATGAACGATCCAGATGCTAAGTTCCCTTCACGTTCTGACTGAATGCATGCTTATCTATAGCACGAGTAGGTCAGGATCAGTTTAGTTCAGTTCTTCGGACGAGACAAGGTACATTCCGTTCGTGACAGATAAGTCAGACTGCACACAATGTGAGTTCATCTCAATGAGGGTGGGAGTGGAATAAGTCCAACGAACCGAGAGTGATATGCACGGTGCAGGTGGGGGTGAGGTGAATGTGTGTTCAGAAAGTAAAACTGAGAAAAATGTGTTGCAACATGGTGACCTCGTTCAACCAGTTTCAAAAAGGCGGACTGAATTGCTCTCTCTCTCTCTCTCTCCCTCTCTCTCTCTCTCTTGGGTAGATTCACGATTATGGGATCGATTTAAGATGTTGTTCCAAGTAATATTTTGGTGATCTCTGAGGCGCTGAGGTGACAGTCGAGAATCAGTGAACCAGTATAACAAAGGACAATTTGGTGCCCACTGGCATCACATTCATGAACTGCTTCATCGGATCAACTCGTTTTTCCATGTTTTTATCCCGATTCTGTTTGGTCTTAATCAAGGATCTTTCTCTTGAGTGGAAAAACAGTTGAACTCGGAAAGTAGATCGTGCAATTGAATATCGGTGTGTGTGTGTGTATGGTTTATTCACTTACGAGTGTTAAATGTGATTTCATCCGAACAAGCAAACGCACCGATTAAAGTCATCACTCAAACACCACGGATTCGCTCAACAATTACGTAAGAGATTGAGTGAGCCCTGTTGGAACAACTCACATTTGTGATCTGACAAACTCAGTGTCCATATGATTCTCACTTACCCTGACTCCACAAACACACACACATTTGTATGAGAGGGTGAACCTCATAGTCTCGAAGACCTGCTGTTTAGTGATGGAAACCGGCAACCCAAATCCGGGGACTTGGAGTGACGAACTAGATAGGGCTCGGCTAAGTTAGGTTTGGTATTGAATAGAACGAAAACAAAATTGCCTACCACCAAAGTTGGATGACTGTGGCGGGGTTCGTAACTCTAACCCTAGGGTCCAAAACACGCCAGTGATAATGTCTAAACCACCGCGTTTGTTGGAGTACACTGAATCAGGACCGTAATACTAAAACGGAACTGAAGAACAGTTTGATGACAAAATATACTACTACATGATGGAAAAAAATCCCTCATTTCAATTAGGAGTGATTTATTTGGTTTTTATCAATTACGATTGCGTCAGATCATATTGCTTAGGAATAGACACTGAATAATTCAAAGGCATTGAGTTAACCACCTCTTGTACCCAGATTCGAATCCCCGTATTCTTAAGATAAATAAGGCTTTTAGTGATATACATGATGAGTTGACTCATCATGACAGATTCATTTTTGAAAATCCCATTGCAAATTAGAACAAACGGAATGGCGTTCTGTGTAGCAATGTTCTCATGCATTGTTGGGACAATTAAGTTATGAAGTGAATCGGGCACTAAACACTGTTACTGTTGTTGTTGTTGTTGTTCTGGCTGATGGTAACGATAAGTGAACATGGATGACGTGATGGCTTCTAATGAGAAAAAGTTCATGGTTCTTCCTATCTACTTTCAAGTATACTCAATCGCTTACTAGATCCCAATACGGTGTATTGTCTGATACCTGTGGACGCGGATAAATGATGCTATACATTTTTTTTGTCGTTCCCACTGAAAGACTCATTCACACCGGATAAAGCTGTGTTACTGAATAAAGCCCATTGAGTAGCCATAAATCGTTCCTGTTCGAATCGAATAGTAGTGTGTTGGTAAACAGTTAGCAATGTCTGATTGCTCTGAAGTCATACGGATTCATTCTACTCTAATGACTGCATTTTCAATCCTTATTCCCCCTACGCATACCAATTCAACTGATTCCAGTTATGAACACTGAAGTCGTTGTGTCAGACGACCACATTCCCGGGTCCATGAGCCCATCTGTCAGTAGTCGATTGCTCCCGAATCTTCTCTCACCCGGTTCCGGATCTCCATTGGGCTCGAGTAAAAGTGGCAGTGTGATGGGTAGTTGCTCTTCCTCCATACCCGGATCGGATAATTCGTTCTTTTTCCGAAACAACGCATTTTTCTCATCCACTTCCGGCACATCCGGACTATGTCCTGGACAGACCAGTTCACGGGCCCCACCACCGCCGGGGCCACCAACGGGACCCCTAAATGGTCTACCACTGGAAAACGGAACGGATATGAGACATCATATTGATGCGATTGAGAGGTATGTGAAAGAAATCAAAGTGAAAATTGTTACGAGCAAAATGGTGGATACAAATTCCAACATAGCACAATGAATGTAGTTTTTATTGTTGTGAATGTAACAAATCTGTTGATGCATGATTTTAGTTTATTATTGTCAGTTAAGACAGATAAATAATTGGAAAAAGGATAACAAATTAGAACAATCAATCAGGCGACAGGGATAAACGGGATGGGAAACAAACAAACAAAGAGAAAAGAGAAAAGATCGATTGGTCTAAACTGCACCGTCACTGATATTCTCATTCATGAGATTTCCAATTCAATGACCTTGAAGTGAAATTGGTAATCGATTTTACACCTGGACGGATGATTTTCAGCGTTAGTCACTACAAATTTGTTTTCTCATAGTTAACTTTATCATAGAAGTCTATGTGATTCCTCTTTTATATTGTATCGATTAAAAAAGTTTTTGACCCAGATACACTTCGTAATCGTTGCCAGTTTCAAGAACAACCGAAATATCATGATTTATCTGTCTTTCCTATGCGTATTTTTGTCCTACATGTATACTTAGTTGCATGGACTTGGTTACGTATTGCATATTTCGTAAGATAAGACGCAGTTTCTGGAATTATTTTGACTGATCAGAGAAAAAAAACGGATCAAGTTTCTACTCAACATTTATTCTATATCATTATTGACACCAAGGAGACATTTTCTGATGTGTACAATAAGCAGTGTGTTGATGTGGATCACTTTCGATGGAACTATTCGGATCGCTTATCATTTCGTCTACAAACCCTAAACCCCATAGCCATCCCTTATTTCCGCTATTGGCACTCATATTTGAGAAATGCGAACTGGCCACCTGTACACCTCGGGACGAATCGTCCAGAACCAGCGGAGACATATGTTCTTCAGACTCATTCCAAGAAGACATAAGCATATTCACCAAAGAGGTAAGTGAATTGTCCATTCCCTGTTGTTCGTTAGACACAAATCGGTCATTTTGATAGGCTACAAAAGTCATAGTATAAATAGGTCTAATCGTAACTCATTAGACAACTCCATAGGGACGAACTCTTTCGTTATACACAAAATTACAAAATGCACGATAGTGATAACTCATCACACTTGTTCTAGTCATGCCTTATCACGTTCGACAGGAGGTTTACCAACTTGTTACTCCCCTCCTCTCCATCCCTTAATGGAAGACTAATTCATTGTCAGACCTTCAAGATTAGAGGTGACTTTAGTACTCAATTTATACAATTGTCGTCCAATCTAAACAAGATTGAAAATTTGTTTATTGTGTTCAAAATAAAAAAATAAATACGGTCCCATCCTCAGCCTCACTTTGGCTGCCGCAGACAGATGCATAGTGAAAACTTCATAAACAATACTGTCATTTTAAACTTTTTGATCTGGACGCGTGAAAAACCTGGATAGAGTAACGGAACACCAAAATGGACAGGCGGATTTTCGAAGTTGATTGGTCCATTGATTGTGCCCATTGAGTGACGTTCGTATGTGCTCGTAAGTTGCTGTGTTTGTACGTAACATGGATGAGTACTGTTCATCACCTCACTTTCTCTTGGTTAACTTCAACAATACCGAGTGAATTTCCTATTCAAAACTCAATGCGTACTTTTCGTTATGGCCTGGGAAGATAACCACGTTTGGTTTGTTGTGAATCGAATCTGTTTCATGACGTCAACATGAAGTTTCACAAACTCCGGGATGCAGTGCACAATGCGGTGTAACGATCGACTGTACTTTCTCAATCATTTCGAAACCCTATTGAAGTGTTGTAACAATCGATTGACCAACTCCCCTATAAGTCGATATTTTTTAGTGCTGTCCAAAACGATTCCCTTCACGTTCTTTTCTACCTCGGGATTTTCCTGTTCTCCACGTTAAATATTTCGAGTTCGTCAGTGCTGTCCTTTCTCATCCCGATCGATTGCACTATCGCTGAATGTGGCAGGGGTACACTTAAATAAACATTCAACTACTGAGAACAAAAATCGGGGAGATCAATTCAGTCAGGACTATAGTCGTTCTCACTCTCCGATGCGAATTGAACAAGGGTTAATTTCGGAAATTCCTTGTGCCAAGGGATTAGTCCGAGATGATTTTGACGTATCGAATCCCACCGTAAATCCTCTCAGACAAACGCACACATACATACATTAGCCTACAAGATACGCAGATAGGACAGGTATGTGAGCGATTACGCTAACTGGCAAACAGAATTCACGCATCGCGGTGACTAGGCTATCAGTGTTGGAATCAGTTCGAACCGACTTGCATGCTCAAATAGGAACGACCAACTAACCAACCAACCAACTAACCGATCATTAGCGTGGCTATAGTCATATTTCAGCTGAGTCTGTACGCTTACAAGCACCTGACAGATCACATGCGCATCCAACCGTATTCGCGTGAACCCTGTATCCTATCAGGTGTGAATCCACAAGAGCAAAAAAAAAGATATATGGAAAGCCAGTGCGTTGTAATCGTCTACTTCTCCATGAGCAGTCAGTCATCATAAACAGGCCTGGCACTGTCCGATAAGAATGGGACTGGTTTGTCAATTCAATTGCCAATTCACGTACACACACACACACACACATGCACATGCACATACGCACACAACAGATGCACTCGTCTCAAATCAATGCAATGCGGTTCTATAGTTTTCACGCGGACACCGCCAACGTTTGACCTTGCGGATATTAGTTCCCCTAACTCAACAGTTAAAAAGTTAACGAAATGGCAATGAACGGGGCAGAATAAACGGAGCACCTCAAAACGATCAAGTCCAATCGCACCGCGATGTATTCACACATTCGATTTCGTTTGTTCATAGTCGATATAACTCTTTCTCCCTTGTTACACCAAATCGTCAGATGGTCGTCAGCGTAATTTTTCTCCTGGCGTTCATTATTCATCTGATTTAGAACGAGTTGGATCATTTTTGTCTGGACGGGAACTGCAAAAATACTCTGTGAAAATGATCGATCGATTTTACCTAACGTGTTGGTCTACCGCATATGCATTTAATGTTATTCGTGAATGAAACGGGTTTTTTGTTTTGATGATGCTCTGGAAACCGTCACGAAAAACATATCAACTGGGTATTCATAATTGTGAATTCCAGGTCGTAGCAAATGAGTGAAGCCTACAGTTGTGTACGTGTTGTTGTGACTCGAGGGGTTAGTTGGATTTCTCTGTTCTCATTGAAAGAGTTACGTGGTACGCGGGGGAAAGAGAAATCTGTGGAAATCGAAATGTGCAGATTTGTTGCTCTTGGGAAATTTTTGTTTTATACAAACTAAGGTGGGTATTTTTTTAATGAGAACAGATAGTTCGATTGACTGACTGACTGACTGACTGACTGACTGACTGACTGACTGACTGACTGACTGAGCTGTAAACCAACATATTCTGTAACTTTTTCATCTTCTGTTAGCAAAGAACACGAGAACGATAACCCCCCGTACTTGGTACGTGTTTCTGTTTCACATAAGATGTCGGTAATGCGAAACATCACTAAGTATTATTTGTTTGCGCTCATCTTTCTGGGTTCGGAGACAATACACGCAGTAACTGGCTCGTGACAGGATACGCCGAACCAGTCTTCTTCTTCTCAAACACGTATCTGTCTGAACGTAGTAGTGATAATTAATACATGAATGTTGTTGATGAGTGGCTAGGGAAAAGAGGCCGGTTCAAATATGTTTGCAGTTGGACAGTGTAGGACAATCAAGAAAGAACTTGTTGTCCCCCGTCCGGACCGCCCCCCCCCCTCCCACCCCGCCCTCTTACTC